TGATATGGAGGATGGGGGATAAGGGAAGGGAGGTGGAAGTGGGGAGGACGTTGATGAGAGAGTTGACAAGGGGCCACGATGGGCAAGCTGAAGTGTCAGGGATGGAGGGAGAGAAAAGTGACTCCCAGCCATCACTCTAGGTCCCTTGGCTGGGCTGTGAGTTAAACTGCCAGGCTAGCAGGGGGGAATGGTACCTGACTGGACTTCCTCCGGATCTGAGCCAGCAGTGCTGACGGAAGCTCATATGGGATCCTGAGCTTTGGAGAAGAGTCGGAGCTTAGCTTGGGCAGAGTACGGGAGGGGGGAGGTTCAGGGGAGCGGGATGCAGGGTGATGGGGTACAGGGGACAGGGTACGAGAGGGTAGGGGGCAGGGTATAAGAGGGCAAGGTACAGGAGGCAGGGTACAGGAGGGCGGATTACAGGGGGCGGGGTGCAGGGGTGGGGTACAGGGAGTGGGGTACAGAAGGGCAGGGGGGAATGTCCAGTGAATCAAGGTTGTCTCCTGATGCAGCTAAAAAGCCTCCTAGGAGTGAGAGCCGTCTAGCAGCAGCCCTCGGAAGAGTGAGTGACCAGGCTCGAAGTCCACCTCCGGTCTCCTCTCCCGTGATCCGAGTTTATCACCTGATGGATCAGATTCTCACGGAGGGCTCATGGCCATGGAGCTCCTTCTAGAGATACGCAGAGTTCAGAGAAAGCCTCTGTCCCCAAGCCCCTCAGTTCTGAGCATGCAACACACCAAGCAGCCTCCTGGGCAGCACGTCCTGAGCTCCTTCAGAAGCGGTGCAGGACACGTGCCCCACACCTGGGCCGCAGAGGCTGTCTTCCTGGGCCTGTGCTGGGGTGAGGCGGTGCCGCCAGCAGCTAGGGAGAGAGAGGGCAGGTTGGCATCTGCATCTCATGCTCAGGGAGGGAGAGCCACAGTAACACATCCTGACAGCATGTCTGTGTCACCAAGAGGGGACAGAGTGCGGTGAGGGGGCAGATGGAGCAAACGCCAGCCCTGCCCACTCCCAGTACCACTGACGGGGCAGGAAGAAGACGTGCCCTTTGGTCCTAGAAAGCAGGTCCATGATGGCAGGAACGTGTTTTATTTCTCGCCATCTTCCTGGTGTCAGAGCAGAGCCCAGCATGTAGGAGTTCAAAAAAACGCTTGTTGAATGAGTCAGTGCCCGAATGAGCGAGCAAAAGGGGGCAGTGATCTGCATGGTGCAGGCGGTGAGTCGGACTTGGCCCGACGCATTCGCCTTTGGGTTCTGCTGAAGAGTACCTGCGCGACTGCCAAGCTCCCGGGGCCATGTGGACCCACCTGTGAAAGAGAGGGAAGCTGGGATCCTGCAGAGCACAGACCCGGGTTGGCAGGGCCAGTCACACGGCGACTTAGAAACCCAACTCTAAATATCAGCCTTGGAGACAAATTCACTCTCAGTATTTTGGCAAAGCCAGGTTTCTGAGTCTGCCAGGCTCTAGGCCATGAGCATTATGAAATAATAGTACTAACATAGCTAAAAATAGTATTCCCTGCCAGGGATTGTACTATAGGCTGTCCGTGATCTGATTTAATGCTCGGCACCGCGGGATGTGTGTTAAACGATGACCCTGTCAGGGTTAAGTTCTCACATCAGGGAGGGACAGCTCTTGAGGGCTGACAGTAGGACATGGACACACTCAGACCTCAGCCAGGCATCTTCTCACTGAATTTCACCCAGGGACCCTCTTCTATAGTGCGCCTCTCCCCCTTAAAACTTTTGCAAGATTGTGAAGGAGGACTGGACTGGGAGACAGGGACCTGGATTTGACCTTTCTAAAATCCGTTAACTACATAGCTTCAAACAACCAGTCACTCAGCTTCTTTGAGCCTCGGTTTACTCTGTTGCAAAATTGATGTAGCAATATTTGCTCGATGAATGAAGGAACCCTTCACCTCACTCTCTCTACAGATGGTAAAAAAAAAAAAATCAGACTGGAGGTGGCAACCTTTTTCAAAATACAAAACGCGCCTGTGTCTATAAGTTTATAACCGCACAGCCTCAGGTTGTCGTTGTGATCGCTCGGGTTCTAAGGGAGCCAGAGCCTTGTCTTCCTCTTGCTCTGAGCCCTCACTCAGGATTACTCTTTCAAAAGAGTCCCCAGGATAGTGGGTGTCTCAGCGAGGACTTCAGGAGGGGTCTGAGTCAGGCTGCCCCAGTGGTCAGGAGTGCAGGGGGCCAGAGTCAGGGAGCAAGGAGGAAGGAGGCACCCAGCCTTCTTCAGAGGCCAGGATGGAGAAACCAGAGCCCCTTAGTGGAGGAAATTCCCTGCGTACTACCAGGTGCCGGCTGCCCCTGAGAACTTCTGCCTCGCCGGACCCTACCTCCAGGGACAGCTCTCCGTGATAGGACTCTTTCCGCTGGCACCACTGGGACATCCTGACTGACATCCGGAGGTTACTGGCTAAGTACGAGAACCTGGGAGGCTGCTTCCAAACTCTTCAAACCATCCTTAGGTTTTCTGAAATGCCAGCCTCAGGGATGGAGCTCAGAGCCTGGCACCCACTCCCGAGCTAGAGGCCAAGCCCACGCTCCAGGGCCTGGATGCCTGTCCAGTCTCTGTCCCCACCTATGCAGACTGCAAGGCCAGGGAGCCTGCACTATTCCCTGGAAAACCCGGGCCTTGGTCCCTCTCCCTAGGGAGGAGGCTTGCCCAGAAGTGAATGCAGCCATGGCCCCAGAGTGACACCTTGTCTAGGCAGGAACTTCGGACTTCTTAGGAGCTTAACTTCATCTCTCGACCTCACTGACTGTTTTCTTTCTCCACTTAAAGGGCAAAAACCTATTGCCAGGCTATTTTAGGTGAACTAACAGAAAGAAAAAAAAAAAGGACAGAAGAAAATCAGCGCGGGGACGTCACAGCTATTTTTAGATGGACCTCCTCTCCCTCCAGGACTCAGGCGCTGTTTGGGAACCTGGTGTCTTGGTGAGCAGCCAACCTTGTGCTTTTTCACAGAGTGATCCCTTGGCATATGGCAAAGGCTTCTGGTCCTCCTCACTGTTTGTATGGAAAGCTGTTGGTCCGTGACAGCCTCACCTCTGGCTCGCTTCCTCTCACAGCCTCTGTAGCTCAGCATCTTTTATATTTCACAAAGCACTTTGCAGTCAGGACCGTGGCTCTGCCCCTCCGGGTTTCAGACATATCAAAACAGGGCGGCTTTTAGCAAATTAATGAGCTTATATCCAGGTCACATGTTCTCATGAAGAATCACTATTTGTTAACCCAAGAATCCCTATTTACCTAAGAACTAAAATCAAGTGACATATTGTCTGATCCGGGATCCTTGCTCCTAAATACGAGCCCAAAAAGTCATGTGTATTTGGGACCAGCAGTTAGGGTAATGGCTATGTCGCTGGATTCCCACGTAGTCAACTGTGGTTCGAGTCCTGGACCCGGTGGCTTAAACTCACACTGGGCGCGTGTGCGTGCGTGCCCAAGATCCTGAGAGGAGAATGAAGGAGAAGGGATTGCGGCATGGCCATCCCCCCTGGGGGGTGATTTCTCGCTTCCTGTCTCTCTGTCTCTCTGTCTGTCTGGCAAATGCATGCCTCTCAAAAAAAGTCATGTGTATTTTTAGTTCAAAGTTCAAGTTCTTGTACTTTGAGATAGCTCATCAAGAAAATTGGAGGGACCAGCAGTTAGCGTAATGGCTATGTCGCTGAACTCCCATGTAGTCGACCACAGTTTGAGTCTCAGACTCGGTGGCTTAAACTCATGCCAGGCGCATGTGCGTGCGTGCCCAAGATTCTGAGAGGAGAATGGAGAAGAAGGGATTGCAGCGTGGCCTTCCCTTCCCCACCCCCCATCAGGGGGTTATTTTTCGCTTTTTCTCTCTCTGTCTCTGTCTTTCTGGCAAGCGCACATGCCCTATAGCAAAAACCTCTAAAAAAAAAAAAAAAGAAAAAAGAAAGAAAGAAAGGAAGGAAGGAAAGAATAGGCATAGCAAGTGGGATTGAAGTCCAGGCTAGCAACCAGGCCTGGGAGCGCTGAGATGTAGGTCCGGAAGGCCCAGCTTTGACAGGGATGAGATCCAGTGCTGTGGAGACTTGACCCCACCCCACAGCTATCAGTGGGGGCTGTCTGCAGGGACAGAACCAGTAAGTATGTGTAGACATATGAGAGAGTTTACCGAGGGACTTAGTGCGCATGATCATGGCAGCTGAGAAGTCCCAACATAGGCCATGTGCCAGCTAGAGACCCCAGGTCCTGGTGGCGTGGATCAGCCAAAGCCCAAAGACTTCAGAGGCAGGGAAGCCAGTGACTAACTCATGGTCGGGAGCCAAAAGCCTGAGAACCTTGGGGCGGGGCACTTATGTAAGTCCTTGTGTCCAAAGGCAGAGGAGCCTTGAGTTCTCTGAGGCAACAGAAGTCCATCTTGTTCGGTCTCGAGAGAACCATTCAATATTCTGCATCCTCCCTGGGACACTTATTGATTGGACTGTGCCCGCCTATACTGAGGGTGGATCTTCCACTTCTAGTCTTCTCAGACTCTATGTTAACCCATCTAGAAATAACCCCATGGACATACCCAGAGTAATGCCTTTCCTAGGTACTCCTAAGCCCAGTCAGGTGGATAGCCTAACTGACCATTACAGGGAGATCAGGCATAACCGGGGTCCCCACAAACATAAACAAAGGCTATTGTCTCAGTGTGTCTGGACACAGCATGTAGCTCATAAACAACAGACCACAGAGACCTGACATCTCGAGTCCCACTTCCAGAAAGAGCCATCAAGAACGATGAAGTCCTGGCTCCTGATTTTGTTAGAAGCTGATGAAGTTGGATATTTATGAGAATTGGCTCTTTCTCAGCAGGTCATAGGAGCAACAGATAGAGTCCTTAAAAATGCCAAGTATTTGACCAAAAAGGACATTTCTTGGGATACATAGTTTATTTTTCTTTTCCAAAATGGAAGTGACTTTTTGCTCCAAGTATAAAAATAATTTCTGTGCATTGTGAAGAGAGTGAAACTCCTCCTCAACCCCATCACCCAGAGATAATCTTGGCTACCATTACTGGGAATCAGACTCGGGCATGCGCTTAGCTACGTGTGCTTACAATTGTACTTAAACACATCTGTGGGATTCTGGGGATGGCCATGCTTGGACTATGGGAGACCCAGTTATCTGCTTCTGAGTAAATAAGACACAGTAAATAAGTTCGCTTTCCCTGACACCATCTACCACAGCGCAGGTGTGGGGAAACCAGCCCACTCATCTGGAGCAAGCCACTTTCCTTTGGAAAGACCCAGATCCCAACTCAGACCCTCCCTTGGTCCCACCTCAGATGAGATACTGTCTTGAGCTGGGTAGTAGGGGGACTTCCATTTAGCTTTTCCCAGTGGTGACTGGGAAGCCATTACTCAAGTACTACAATACCAGATTAATGCCACCCAGAACTGGCATTCAGGGGCCATTGGCATTAGGGCTGGTCCCCCTGGGTCTGGCAATGGCCATGTTTATTTAAAGGGCCTGCTCTCCATTTCCTCTGATGGTCTTAACAATGACTTGGGAGAAGGATTCTTCACCTATGAGAAAGTTCTGTGCTCCCTCAAGGGCCTGGTGTTTGTTTTGCCAAGCTGTCTTCTAGCCCTAGAGCCCTCCAATACTGGTAATAGTAAACACTATTGACTCCCTACTACACCTGCCCTGTCTGATATTGGGGGACTATATAAGAAACTGATAATACTAAGTACCTGGAATAGGGATAAGATTGTGCAAATGAGGCCTAGGGATAAGAGAGAGTCTTTTTGCTCTTCATACTTACATATTTTAAATTTGTAAACTATGTGAACACATTACATATTTTAAAATAAGATAAAGAAGTAAATGAAAAAGTTATAAAACCAGAAGCCCCAGCTCAGCTTCTTCCTGCAACCTAGCCATGATTGCCCGTCTCTGGAGGCAACCCAGTGAACAACATGCTGACCTCTGCAAGGAACGGGCATTCAACCTTGCCACACATAACGCACAGAAATAAATGAAGTCTGTAGAAAATAAAAATATCATTAAGAATGTAGAGGACCTGAGGCAGGTTTTTGCAAGGGAAAGCTGTAAGCTCATTAATTTTCACAAGTTATGAGTGTTAATTAAACATCCTGTTATTGAAATGAAGTTTGTTTTCTGGAAGAAAACTGCCAGGAGGAAACAGGACATAGTGTTGGCCCACCAGTCTTCTCTCTGTGGGATCTCTTGGTATGTTTCCACATCTGATGAGCGCCAGCTAGGTCTCTGCTCCTTGTTCCACACTTCGGGCCCACGTCTGCTACACATCCGCCCCCCCAGGTGTCTCCCAGGCCCCTCAACTCAGCCATCCAAAGCTCAACTCCATGCATGTCGCTGAAGCCTGCTCCGCATGACTGCATGACTGCGGTGATCCTGCCCTCTGCCCAGTTCCTTACCAGGACCCTGAGGCAGCCATTCATTCTTCTCTCCCTTCTATCCACCAACCATACAATTCTTTTTTCTTTCTTCTTTTTTTAGAGAGATATTTGCTATAGGGCTCATGTACTCACCAGAGAGACAGAAAGCTAGAAATAACCCCCCATGGAAGATGGCCATGCTGAAATCCTTTCTCCTCCATTCTCTTTTCAGGATCTTAGGCATGCATACACATGCGCCTTATGTGAGCTTTAAGCCACCAGGTCTGAGACTCAAACTGCCAGAGATTTTCGCTATAGGGCGCATGCGCTCGCCAGACAGACAGAGACAGAGAAACAGAAAGCAAGAAATCACCCCCCAGGGAGGATGGTCACGCCGCAATCCCTTCTCCTCCATTCTCCTCTCGGGATCTTGGGCACGCACGCACACGCGCCCGGCGTGAGTTTTAAGCCACCGGGTCCGGGACGCGAACCGCGGTCGACGGCGTGGGAGTCCAGCGACAAAGCCATTACGCTAACTGCTGGTTCCCCAACCATACAATTCTGAAGATCTTGCTTCCTCGGTATTTCTTCACAACTTGGCAAATTTCCTTCTTCTTCCTTTTACTCACCACCACCATCATCTCCATTCCCTTCCAACTCTCTTGTGCTACTGTAACAGCCTCCGAAGTGGTCTTCTGCTGCCCACCTGTCCAATCCATCCTTCACATTGGTGTTCTAATGCCCTTTAACAAAGCGAGTCTTATCTTGCCACTTCCCTATGGAAACCTCTACTGCCTTCCCATTGTGCATAGGCCAACGTTCAAGTCCCTCAGTGTGAACACTGGGTGAGAGCGACTATTTCATTGACCCTTCCAGGACAGGTTCAATTTATTCCTATTGTCTTGCAATCCCATCTGGTTAGCACCTTCTCTCACCCTGAAAGTGTTCCAGTTTAGACACTGAAATATTTGGTATCCCCTAATCCTAATTCGCCTACCTCTTTCGCTTCCTCTCCCACCACCCTGTGTTCCAGTAATGCCAAACTGCCCCACCCACTGCATGCGTGCCATTGTCTCTCACCCTTGGGCTGTTTGCCCTGCTGTCTGCTCTTCCTAGAGTGTGTTGGGATCTCCCTCCTTCACATCCACCTTGTCCTTGTCACCCTGTCTTGTCCTTTAAGACTCAGCACAATATCTCTGTTCCATGAGGTCTTTCCTGGCTGCCTTCCTCTGTGCATGTGTGCACGCACATACACACATACACGCATGTGAGATTCACTTCTCTGTGTTTCTTTAACAAGCTCTCTTCATGAATTCAGCAGATCTCATTATACCTATGGATCTGTAAATCTGCCTCCTATCACTAGATTATAGCTTTCTTAAGGGCAAGGACTTTGTCTTACATATCTTTCCACTCCAGAACTTGGAGCGTTCTTAGAGTCCAGGCCCAGCAGGCCCAGCAGCAAAAACAGAGCAGAAACAAACTGGGTACAACTGAGGGAAGAAAGAGCGTGCGGCTGGAGCAGAGTGAGGAGGGGAGCAGAAGACAGGACGAGGTCACAGTGACACGCAGCAGCCAGACCACGGAGTGCCTTGCAGCAGGCTAGGGGCCCTGACCACACTGCCTGCCAAGCCATGCATGAGTGTGGAATGAAGGTAGAATTTGAACCTGACAGAATTGAGTTTGACAGCTGACTTTCTTACTCTCACTGGACCAATATGGATAACTTTTTAAAACAAGCTTGTTTCTTTGTCTATAAAACGGACCTCATAAAATTGTGGTAAGGAGTAAATGAGGTGCCAATATATTAATCACTTGACACAGGACCTAGCACTCGGGAAAGTCTGGCATCTAAAGGTGATTGCCGGGCAGGTGTCAGGAGCAGGGTAAGATGGCAGTACAGCTCTGGGAACCTCTGTTGCAGCCTCCCGCAGCCTGCCCTGCCATGCCCAGAGGAAGCATCCACAGACACGCTGTTTGCAGCCTGTTTTGAAGAGGATCGCAGGGCCCGGCACAGAGGGGGCAAAGGAAGAACACTGTTGATGACTCACTGCCCGGCGCATAAGGTGTGTGGGGGCCAGGAGAGGCTGACCGGTTGGCGTCTCCTTTCTCCATTAGGGTTTCTTTGCCTCCTGCTCACCACTGTGTTTGGGCAGATTCACAGGGTTGCCATGGGAACAAATTGCCTGGAGGAAAGAACAAAAACAAGCACTGTGAAGACTTGGGTTTGAATCCTGGCTCTGCTATTTTCCTGCTCTATGGCTTTGGCCATGCTATCAAATGTCCACCACCCTTCTCTACAATCTGCACTTCCTGAAAAATGGAGACCCTCTGGCCTCCCTGCCCACCCTGTGGGGTTGTTCTGAGCTTTACAAAATGTGGGCGTGAAAGCAATGTGTGTGATGTGCTCCCCAAATTACTCTGTGATGTGATTGTGTTTGCTTAATTGGACCTAAGTTTCCCCAGACCTACCAGCCATGAGGGACCTTGGTGACTCCTATCCACATTTCCTGGCTGCTGCCTGTGAGGCTCAGTCTGGACACTGGCCCCTGTAAAGAGCTCCTGAAGGACTTCTCCTTGGAGACATCCAGCAGGCTCCCCACGTGATCTGACCCACAGGCCCAACCTCTGCCCCTGCATTCCCCTGAACTCTGCACTCGCCCCTCTCCTGCACTAGGGCTGCCCCTGCAGACACACTGCCAAGGCCCAAAGCTTCCTCATTGGCAGGGCAGGGCAGGTTCCCCCTCCTTGGTCCCTTACCTGTGTCACATGCTGGCCCCTGAGTGCCAACAGAGTCCTGCAAAGAAGCAGCTCCTCTCACCCCTCCCTCTTGAGGGCTCCAACTCCAATCTCAGGGCCAGGCAGAGACAGACGGCCACCCACCCTGTCCATCACTTCCCTCTCCACGTCAAGGCCTCAGCACAAACCTTACCTCTCATTCACTCAAAACCAAAAGTTCAACCAAAAGTGGATTTTACAAGAATTAACTCTTCTATAGACTGTCCCCAAGGTAACCAGCTCAGAGAAATTTGGATATCATTTTGAGTCAACAGCAGTATGTCTCCTATGATAATATTTATTATGAATCATCATTTTAATTATTGCAAGTAGCAACAGCCCATCTGTGGTTCTTAAATTTGGAGAGGTCCTGGTGCTGGGCTCACCATACCCTGTATCACAGGCGTGGCCGCAGAGGAGGGGCTCTGGCGGCCCATCCAGATATTTCTGTGGAGAGCCCAGGCCTCAGGGCCTGCAGCAGAGCTTCGGCTGAAATGATGACGGAGAAGGACATTCGTATCGTAAGTTTACCACAAGGAGGTTTAACCCGAAATTAAAGAAAGCAGAGCCAATGGCGCTGTGGTGGTAAAGGGGTCTGCATGCCCCATGGCTGACTGTGCAGTTCAAGTCCTTGACCTGGTAGCTTGAAAAAAATCTAGGTACACATGCGTGTGTGCCTAAAATCCTGAGAGGAGAACCAAGATGAAGGGATTATGGTGTGGCCATATCCCCAGGGGATGCTTTCTCACTTTCTCTCTCTCCCTCCCCCTCTCCCCCTCTGGTGAGCACACACTCTCTATTGTAAATATTTTTTAAAAAGAAAGAAAAAAAAGAAATGAGAAAAGAAAAGAAGAAAAGAGGAAAGGAAAGGAAAGGAAAGGAAAGGAAAGGAAAGGAAAGGAAAGGAAAAAAGAAAAAAGAAAAGAAAAGAAAAGAAAAGAAAAGAAAAGAAAAGAAAAGAAAAGAAAAGAAATTGAAGAAGTAGGATACCGATACCTAGCCTGGTGACACAGTTGTAGCAAGTTGGACTGCAGTGCTGGAAGCCACGTGGCTGACTACGGGGTTGGATCCTGGGTCTGCCTGAAAACACTTCAGTACATGCTTATCCAGAATCCTGATGAGCTTGGAGGGCTGATAAAGGGGCTGTGGAGCAGCAGAGTTTATTGAGAGGGTTTCTCTCTTTCTCTCATGCACACACATACGCTCCATCATGACTAAACAAATGTCAAAGGAAGAACATAGGATAAGAATGCCCAAGAAGACAGTTACCAGGATGGTTTCTTGCAGGCCATAGATTCTCAAACCCAGGGTCAGATCTCATTAGCATGTCCATGAGATCAATTTAGTGGGTTGTGACCAGCATTTTAGAAGCTGAAATAGGATGGAATAGAAATATGAGAGAGCATATAGCATAAGGATGGGTGTTGTTTCATGGCATTTTTGTTTCTGTTAACTCACAGAGAGAACTAGATGAAATTGCCATATTTTAGGTCAAAACAGTCAAGTGTCTGCAGTTTCATATGGTTCACCATAGTAGGACATGTGTATATGTTGCCCTACTGTAAAAATTTATTTCTATGGTTCACAATAAAAAAAAATCAAAAGTCATCCAAAAACGGTTACTGAGTTTGGAACAACAACAACAGGCTACCTCCTGCTCTTCCAGCCTTTCCTCGGTGTGCACAGCGGAGGCGTCTGGCCGGCTTGAGCGCATGCTCACATGGCAGGGACTTACCAGGTGCGGTGCAATCTGGGAAGAACGGTAGGTCTAGAGTATCTGTCAAGACTCGTTAGCTGGAGATGGTAAAACCACTGAGAGCAGGTAACACAGAAAAAGAAGTTCAGGGGTGGGGCGGCCTTGGCCATAGGTGAGTGCGGGGACCCAGGCGATGTCACCAGGTCTCTGTCTCTCCTTCCAGGGCTCGGCCCTCCTCTCTTTTGAGAACAGATTCACATACCTCAAGAGCACAAGGGAACAATCCTGCCCACACTTGAGGTCTCTGTCATCCCACAGAAGACTCGCACCTGTCACATGTGAGGATTCAGACTCAGACTGTAACACACGTGTGTCCCTATAAAGAGGGGACGAGACTCCTCTTGTGTGGGATGCAGCTCACCTTTCCCTGGCCAGAGCGAGGGATGCTGCAATAGAAAGACCTGGCAAAGTCAGGGGTGGGAAAGGGAAGCTCCCAGGGGAAGAGAAAGTCTATCAGCAGAAGAGGCAAGAGTGCTGGGAGACCGAAGAGCAGATGGTGAGTACGAGGATCATAGGCGCCCACGCAGAGAGCCTGCAGCTCCTCTTCTGACTGCAGAGTCTAAATGTCTGTCAGCGCACAGTACAGAGCAGGGACAAGCATCAAGGCAGGGTCCCCGCGAGGCAACCTGTGGGCTCCGGGATGGCTCAGTTACAGCAACAGGGGCCACAGGGCTGAAACAGGACACCTGAAAGATAGAGACAGGCCCTGAAGAGTCTATCCATCACTGAGGTCGGAGAGGGGGTGGGCGAGATGGTTCAGGGCCGTGGAAATCCACAACATTCCCAAGGGGAGCACCATGCGAAGGAGCTGGTGAGTAAAGCCAGGAGGAGGAGATGTGGTCAGCCTGGTCAGAGCGAGAAGTGGGAGGAGGCACTTCTGACAGATCATCAAAACTGGTGAGAAGGAGAACACGGCAAAGTACTTGTACGACTCCGATCTGCAGGAAATGCAGCGTGGCTAAAGCCGAGCACCTGACGCGTTCAGAATGCGCCTTGCTGATGATTTGATCTCCCGGGCAATAAAGGACATAGCGCATCAACTTTTCAAGACCAAATCCGACCCTTAAGGAAGCTGAGATGCGGACATAGTGGGAGGAGGGGGTGGAGTGAGAAGGAATGTGCGCAAGAAGCTTCCAGGGAGTATCAGGGTGAGTTCGTGATGACAGGGCTGGGGACAGCTGGACGGTCAGAGATCCACTCTGAACCTGGGACGGGCACATGTCAGAGCATGCGAAGGAAAGTAGGCATGTTTTCATGGCATGGGCAGGCTGATAAGGATCGGTCAACTTTACAAAATGTAATTCTGGGACCAGCAGATGGTGTAATGGTTATGTCGCTGATCTCCCACGGCTGCAGTTCGAGTCCCAGACCCAGTGGCTTGGGACTCATGCTGGGTACATGTGCCTAAGTCCCCAAAATCCCGGGAGGAGAATGGAAGAGAAGGGATTGCAGCATGACCATCTTCCTGGGGGCGGTAGTGATTTCTCACTTTCTGTCTCTCTGTTTCTCCAGCAAGTACATATACCCTATAACAAAAATCTCTCTCTCTTAATCTATATCTATATCTATATCTATATCTATATCTATATCTATATCTATATCTATATCTATATCTATATCTATATCTATATCTATATCTATATCTATATCTATATCTATATCTATATCTATATCTATAGTATATAGTTCAGGTGGCATAAGCATGAAAAGGCCCACATAAGGAAAAAAGTGATGGTGTCTTAGAAATGGTGAGCAAGTCCCCTAAATGATTTGTTTTCTGTTTACAGTGGAACCGAGGTTTTTTTAAAGAATTCTTTTTATCTTCCTGTTAGATTCTCCTGTGTCTGTCTACAAGAAGGGACAGTGCTGACAGTTTAATCTCTCTCACATACACATGCTGGTTCTCCTAGAACCAGCTTCCCATTCCTCTTTTTCCTCTCCTATTTATGGAGAGTTTTGTCATCATCTTAGGGTTGCCCTGCAATATTGGGAACATATTTACAACCAAAAAAATTCTCAGTCACCTGCAATTCAAATTTAACTGACTGTCTTGTTGTTTTTGTTTTGCATGTGTCTGAGCATGTGGGCTTAATCTGAAATTCCACCCCATACCACCGCAGCCCCTCAGCCTGGGAGGCTAGGATAACAGGATAATGGAGAGGACTCTTAACCGTGGATGCCTCTTAACAAGGCACAGGGAACCATCCCAGGCTGCAGAGCCCCCACTCCTAGAAGGGGCGGCTGCAGCTCCCTCCCTCCATGGGCTCCTCTTGTCCCTTGGCTGTTTCTCTCCTATGCTCTGAGCCTGGTCGCTGCTGGGACAGGAGGACAGGGTGAGAGCTGAGTTTCTTAATGCTGCTTTTTAGAGATCGGCAGGTGGCGTGGTGGATAAAGGCGCTGGATTCCCACATGGCCGACCCTGGTTGGAGTCACCCTGGTTAAGTCTTGGACCTGGTGGCTTGCTCTCTCACTTCCCCTTTCTCTCTTTCTGTCTCTGCCTGGTCAAATTAAAAAACAATACTGACAAATGAAATTAAATAAATAAAAAAAATTTAATGCTGCTTTTTAGCTGTGCCATGTTTAGTAGACTGCTTCATTTTCTTGTTCATAAGCCAATTTTACCTGTGAGGAGCCTGCAGAGCAGGGACCTCCACCTCCAGTCTGGGAGCATTTCTTCTCTGGGACCCCAGTCCAGTTGATCAAAATATCTTCCACCAATAACACTACGCCTCCCCATCCCATCAGAGCCCTCAGGGTTCTCCAAGTGAGGCCCTGCTCCCCAGCCCCTGCTTCCTTCAGCTGCTTCAC